ACCTGTGTTGCCAAGTATATAACAAATATAATCCTGGAGAAATTATGTAAGAGCAGCACAACTTAAAACAGAATTACTGACAGTAAATGGACCAAAATTACAACTAGCATACGCGGATGACATTGACATTGTGGGAAACACAGTCACCAATGTAAAGGAAACATAATAATAATAACTTGAAATAATAAATTAGATATAGAGGCAAAAAACCGGTCTAAGGGCCAATTAAGAGAAACTCGAATATATGTGCATTAAGAGACAAAAGAGACGAGATAGAGTAGGGCAAAATGTAACGATAGACCCATATAACTTTAAAAGATTGGAGAGTTTAAACTCTTTTATAGGCAGTGGAAAGTATAATTCTCGCCATATAATATCACGTCTAGAGGCAGTGTATATCGATTTTTCCACCGTTTGAGGTGGTATGCGATCTATATGCCTCCAGAGATGCTGAGGTTGCATTAGCTTATTTATATTCTTTAGCTGACAATAAAGAACATTTAGAAGAGGAAGTAGATGAAGATGCTTTTAAAGAACTTGAAAATGTGAAAGACAACTGTTCAGATTCTTCTGGTGTAAATACAGCCTGTTTGGAATCTTCAATGCTCAATATTCAAATAATTTTTCTCTCCCTACATCTCTCAACTATTTGTGTGGAAAAATACAGATTTCTTTGACAAAACACAGATTTCTTTGACAATCTTACACTTGATTTTTAAAGATGCCAATTTTACATACAATTTTAATATTGAAGACAAAGAAATCAATTATTTTACCAAAATTTTTTATTTAGATATTCTTGATACGATAGTTTATCAGACTAATACATATATAAAGCAGAATTGGCCTAGAAGACCTTATAAGACAAGTTAACCCGGTCCATCTAATAATTGGCAAGATACAAATCTAGAGGAAGTGAAGGCACTGATTGAAGTAATGACTATAATAGGAATACATGAATACATATTACCTATATTAAGGAAGTTCCAATTACTTTCACTGATCCATATTTAGGCGTATTAGCAGTTTCGCAAGTATTTGGATCTACGAGATACAAAAACCCAATTGAAAATTTACATCCTAACAACAATGAAAATGCAGTACCTCGAGGAAAACCTGGATATGACAAACTGCATAAGGTAAGACCTCTTGTCGAAAAAGTAAACCGTGCAATTCAATCTACGTATAACCACTCATCTTACATAGCTGTTGATGAATTGATGATAGCGTTTAAGAGCAGATCATCACTCAAACAATACATGCTCATGAAGACTGTCAAACGAGGCTATAAAGAATGATGTTTGTCAAAATCAATTAAGTACAGGCTGTATATAAAAATTCCATATTTACACTGGAAAGTCGGCAGACGTTGACTAAGCAAAAAACCTAGGTGAAGAGGTTGTTATAAACTTTGGAAACTGTCTAAAAACAAGAGATGTTTGATAGCCTTTGATAATTTCTTTACATCATTTCCTCTTATGAAAAAGTTATTGAGTGATAAGATTTTTGCTATTGTTACGGTGAGATGACACAGAAATGGATTACCAGATATGTATGAAAGCAAAACGAAGATGTGCCGTGGGAATTTATGTTTAGTAGGAAAAAAAAGGTAGCTGCACTAAAGTGGATGGATAATAAACCAGTCAATATCTTAAGCAACTGTTTCTCTCCACGAGATACAGATTTTGTTAGTCATAAAAATAAAGATGGCTCCACAAAAAATGTGTCATGCCCTAAAGATGTACGCCTTTATAATCAGATAATGAGTGGTGTCGATAAGTTCGACCAATATCACGAAAGATATTCCATTGGACGAAAATATGTTAAGTGGTGGTTCAGAATTTTCTACTATACAGTCGATATGGCTATAGTCAATTTGTGCATACTAGTGAAGATAAGTAGATAGGAAAAACTCAACCAACTATCATTACACGTAAATTTAGCAAGACAGTTGATTTCGGGATTTACTTCACGGAAATGAAGAAATAAATCCGTAATGTCTTTAGCAAATAAACATTTAGTTCCAAATGAAGCGAGATTAGAGGAAGTTGGTAGCTACAATCACTGCAGATAACGATATCACGAAAGAGATAAAAGGGAGAATTCGGACAGCAAACAGATGTATGTATAGTTTTCACAACACTATTAAATCCACGAGCTTAACACGATAATCAAAAATCACGATATATAAAACAGTAATTAGACCGGTGCTCATGTATAGGTGAGAGACGTGGACACTGACAAAAGCAATGGGGAGAAAAATCCTCAGAAGACTCCCTAATAACCGCCTTACCAAGTTAATCTGGAAGGAAGCCCCGACAAGAAGAAGACCCTTAGGTCGTCCACGAATGCGATGGAGAGATAACATATGCTCAGATTAAAAACAATGGAGCTACCCACTGACCCAACCATCATGGACGATTGTTGGAGATGGAAGCGGGTTGTGCAGTCAGCCAAGACCTACCTCGGACTGTAGTGCTATGAGAAGAAGACTATTTAGACAAATATTAATTACTTCTACTTTGAATAGTGGAATAAGTGGAATAAAATCAGTAAGAGGAGAAAGACATTCCTGGTTAAGAAGTCTATGAAAATGGTTCAACACCAACAATATTATTTAATCTGTTTGTGGTTTGCTGATTACCAACCTTCGAAATAAAGACGACTCTTGAAGAAGACGCTATTTAGTCTGCACTAACAAAACTTTTTGTCAAGAGCCTTAGCTAATTAAACTCTAGAATGCCAATACTTCTTGCTACACGTTATATCAAAAAACGTCATCGCAGAAAGTCCACATATTTGTTTTTTTATTTAGAATATTTCAAACTACTCCAGTGCCAAAGAATGTTTTCATGAAAACATAGAAGTTGTACGTTAGAGCATTACGTCATAATTGCAGAAAATTATGACGTAGATGTAGCTCCAGAAGATCCTCAAAGATAATACTTCTATTGAAGTTAAAGAACTTTCGAGAAAAAATGTTCCTTATCTCGGATAAGGACAGTTCTTGTCTCGGATGAGGATGACGAATTAACAGAAAATGAATTGGACAATAAAGGAAAACATTTAATTTAATTTTAGGATAAGTCAAGGTAAGGTGATTATTAAGGAAAAAAGATCTAAACTTATAAAAGACAAAAATACTTTTTTTTCGTCTGCTAAGTAGTAATAATCAAGAAGAAAGAATAATTATCACAATAAATTTACTTGGACGATTGGGTGGATTTATAATTGAGGTGTAAAAGATTCTGCAAAACTATTATTATGTGTTTTCTTTCAAAGATATTAGCGAAGACGAAAACAGATAATAGGTAGTAAGAGTAAAAACTTTATATAATTAATTCAGAATTTATTCTATTAACTATGCAATTAACATTTCACGTATGTGCATAAGTGATTGTCTAATTTAAAGTTCGATATTTTTCAATAAAATGTTTGTATTTTAACTTTTGCGTATACTATGTTAATTTATCACATAAAATCTGTGATTTATAGTTTTATATTAAAATTTCTTGTAATCCAGCAGTGTCAAGAATAAATTATTTTAAAACCTTGCACTGCTTGCACTGTGCTCCGAACATACCTGTCATGTCAAGTTATTCAAACGAACAGACCATTTAAAATGACAACGACAACCAAGGCTGCCGGATCTAGGGAATTATCCCGAATCTAGGGATATTTCAATTATAAAAGGGACAAGGGATTTATTTGATATTTATTATAAAATCTAGGGATTTTTGACCGGCTCAAATATTTACCTACATAGGCCTATTATAATAACATTTTCTTTAGTTCAGGTATAAAACTACTTCGTATTAACAGTATTGAATAAGCTATCTTTCATTACAAATAATTAAACTACTTAAGGATTCTATTATCAGATGTCGCTAACTGTGCACGTTCTTGGAATCTTTATTTTATGCTACCAAATAGATTTCTACCAAAAATAGATTCCTATATATTTTCATAAAGAAGAAGCAAATTCTGGAGAAGGAATTAGGGGATTTACAAAAATCTTAGGTTTTAAAAAATAAATAATTAGGCGATTTACAGTAGGAATCGGGTGAATCCCAGGATTCGTGGAAATATATCAATAAAATTCTATGCTTCACCGTCTCATTTCTCTTCAAGTTGTATTTTGTATGAATTTTATTAGGTGAATAATACTTAATAATATATTAAATGTAATACTCAAAGCCATAAATAACTACTTTATTCCGTTTTTGTTAAATTTATTCAAATCATCGCTATTGTACCGTTTAAAAATGTATAAAACAACAATTATTTTTTTAGGTTGAGTTTACCGAAAGTGCAAGTTGAATATAGCCGCAAATGTCAAAAATATTTCGGCTTGGCAGTGTTGGCATGTTTTTATAATGCATATATTGTATGCTTCATATATAAAGAGATAAAGCTTTTAAAAAGTACATTTTGATTGATTGATATATGAAGCAGTAACGGGTAGATATTTGTCTCTTTCGAAATTAATTGCAAACATCTGTTGTAATCTGGCAACTGCTGATTTGACGATTGCCAAATGCATCCCCTAATCTACCAAAGGGTAATTGCTAAAAAAATTCCTAATAATTAACTGCAATTAATCTCCAAAGAAACAAATATTTACTCATTGTTGTTTTATATAAATCAAAAGTTGCAGAAGCATAACATAATATAAACAAAATGTACTTTTCTAAAGCTTTATATTTTTATATTTGAAGCATACAGCATCTACATTATAAAAACATGCCAACACTGCTATACCGAAATTTTTTGTTCCATGTTTGACATTTGCGGCTATAATCAGCTTGTACTTTCGGTAAACCTAACCCTTTTTTATATGCATGTTATTATATTAGGCAACCATCAATACATCCCATCATTTTATTTAGAATTAGGCAACCGTATATACATTTATTCCAATCTAGGGATTTCTAGGGATAATTTAATGTTCAATTTAGGGAGTACAAAAATTTTCACCTGGCAACCCTGACGACAACAAACACAAACATGGTGGATTTGAGTAGTTGATAGACGGACATTTACTTTAACATACCTTTATTTGAAAAAGTGACATGATCTCGAGATGATGCTAATAAATGTTTGTTTATTTTTATTATCTTCAACAAAATTAGCTTTAGCAGGTGAGAAATTTCCATATTTAGTTATTATAGTTTTATTATTAAAAATTGTTACAAACCCCGCCTAGTTAACCAGTATTTTCAGTAATAACAAAATTTTAAGAAAGTTTTTGTTAAATTATGTATGATTGATAAGTATTAAAGCACAATTTATTTAAATGAAGAGTTTCTTTAACAATATTTCTTTAAATTTAGGCATTTTATAACATTTTTACCGAGTTTTAATTGTTTTGCATTAATTATGACAAACCTTGTTTATGACTCATGTTTTATGAGAATTTTATAACATTTCTTAATAGATTTGATAAATAATGTTTAATTATTCCCTTTTAGAGTACTATGAATACTATGAATGCAACACACCTTTATTCTCAAAAGCAGCAGTTAGTGCTACTTCGGCTATGAATGAAAGGGGCCCCAAGAATGCAGTCCTATATGGTGAGTCACTAAATTTATGGTTTGTTAATTAAAGCTAGACTTATATGCAATGAAATGTTTGTGGATGAAAAAAATGTAACATTAGGTCTGCATATATTTAGTAATATTAACACTGTTGTTGATTTAATACTGTTGTGAAAGATTTGAGTTACTTATATAAAATGAATGCAGATTAGTATTTAACTTTATTGATCATAATATAATCATAAAATTGTTTTGGAGTAGTTGTGCATGTTTGGAAGGCTGTTTTGTTCAAATAATGCTCCAAAAGCACATAATCATGTTAGTTTGAGTTTGTTTGATGTGAGTTTGAGTAGTTTTTGTATATCTATATTAAAAAAATAGAAACATTATATTCTTTACAATTTTATGCAATGAAGAAGTTTATACAGTATATACTGCTGTTTATGGATGATAATTATGTGAATAATCTATTTTGTATCATATCTTCGGCTGTATTTTGCATACTTTTGGTACTTTCTGCATAGAAACTTTTAAACTATATTAAGCACGTGCAATATCCTTTACTCACTAAACAGTGAATAAATCATATAGAGTACACAAGACAATACACTTATTTCTATGTATTATCTACGAGATTAAATTAGATCAAAGTTATATCATTATACTATCTTAACTTCTTGTGTTGAAATTTCCTTTACTGGAAATTAGTTCAATTAAGAGGTGATGTTCCTTATATGAGTGGCCCTATGAATGCACAGGTTTCTCCAAAAAGCTTTTGATTTATGAATTTCCTCATTTTATTTCTTCGCTTACAATATAAATTCGGCACTGACTGTCAACTACAGTAGAAAATCTCTATGTTAGTGTAAGATATTAAAAAAATTGCTATTTGAATATTAAAAATTTGTGGTTTGTTCTAATTAGGATAGAATTTTTCAGAGTAATTAAGAATGATATGCAGCATACTCCATAATAATAGAGCTATTACAACTTGTTAAACTGTTTGTTTGGGCTGTTAGGCCATTGTCTTCTGAGATTAGTTCTCGATGTTTAGCCAACACTAGGGGTTGGCATCTTCTGGAGATGTTGCTGCTTCGCTTGTAACCTGAAACTGACATTTCTGACTTACAAGCGAAGCAGTAACATCTCCAGAAGACGCCAACCCCTAGTGTTGGCAAAACGTTGAGAACTAATCTCAGAAGACAACAGCCTAACAGCCCGAACAAACATTTTTTAAATCTTTTAGTAATTAATTTGTGATTCAAATTCCTAATTGTTAATTATATCTGTCATCCCAGGAGTCAGAGTAATCCAATCCTTTTTTCTGTAATTAATTTATCTTCCTTTTCTCTAGGTTATTCTATGCCTTTTTTGTTTCCACATAGTTGTAAAGTCTGGTGGTGAGAGTGTTGTTAAGAAATAGGATTAGGTTCTCTGCAACAATGAAAATATTGCATATTTTAAAAATTCAGGTTCTTTTAAACTTATGAGGAAATAAATTCTAATAAATATAAAGTATAGAACTGCCTATTTGAACTGAATTGAATAAAAGCATTACACTTCAGTAAAAAGATAGTTGCGAAAAAAACTTAATAAATTCTATATCACTATTTGTTTTTAAAAAATATATTTTAAAATACATATTTCATTAAACTTAAATAAACCTTTATACAATAATTTCTCTCTTTATGCAGGTGAAGAACATTAGTCAGTAAGACAGAAAGTTTTTAAACCAAATTGTTACAGACATTTGCAAAATGAATAAACAAAGTGTTCGTTGGGCCTTTAACTTTTCTAAGTGGAATCCCACTGCTTCTGACATTCTTCTTGCCTCATCATGTTTACAAAGTGATCAAAAAGTGCGTCTCAATAAGTTCGTTTTTAAAAAAGACCTTAAATACTCATTAATTGGTGACTTAATGTTGCGAAAATATGTGGCTGAAGCATCGAATCAACCTTACAACACGATTAAGTTTGTGCGCGACGAAAGGGGAAAACCTCTAGTGGAAAATAATACCAATAATTTGTCTTTTAATGTATCACATCATGGGAATTATACTGTGTGTGTTGGTGAGAGTCAAGAAAACTTGCTTTTGGGTGTAGATGTAATGAAATTTGAATATTCAGGTGGAAAAACCCTAAGCGAGTTTTTTAGAATTATGAATAGGCAATGCTCTGCTCAAGAATGGGTTAATATTAAAAATGCTGGATCTGAAAAGGAGCAAGTAGCTATGTTTTGTAGGTGAGTTGTGGTTTTAATTAAAACTCTTGTGTAAAAAATTTGTTTTGTTTATCAGAGTCAAAACACTTCTTTCGTATGGATAAAGTATTGGTAACATTCCAAGTTTTCATTAATTAATTACCTTGAATTAAAAAAATATTTAACAAATTTTTATTATTCATTTGTTCAGTTTTTTGTGGAGTTATGGATTTCTTTCTATATTGTTTTACCACTCTTTTATGATGCCATCATTAAAAAATCATTGTTAAGGTAATCTTTGGTAAATATTTCTTAATATTTCATCTTGTAAAAATATACTAAAATGCTTCTTGTCCAAGTGGTAATAAATTGTTGGTATTCTTCCAGTGACTCAATATTTAAATTTTTTTAACTACTAGATAGTGGCCGAAATATATCTCGATCCTCAGGCACTCCTAGGTCTTTTTTCTCTTAATTCAGTTCTTTATAATGAAAAAATCGTACACATTTGACACACATTGATATCTCTCTCTTAGAATTTCTTCCACAATAAATATTACCTTGTAATTGAGAACTTATGGAATCTAACTTGTATCATGTTCTTGAATATTACCAGTCACATCATTCAAACACAGTATCATAAGAAATTATATCTGCAATAATGTTTTAGGCATTGGGCACTAAAAGAAAGCTATGGTAAAGCCATTGGTTTTGGTGTAACATTAAATTTCCAGGATCTTGATTTTAAAGTCAACACCAAAAAACTATCAGATACAAAAATAGTTACTGACACAGAACTCTACATTAAAGGAGAGAAAGTTAACTACAAATTTCACGAATCATTATTGGATGAAGACCATTGTGTTTCTGTGGCATTAAGTGATGTAGAGTATGATGGTGGTGACGGGTTATTTAGAGAAATAAGTTTCGAAGAATTGGTTAAAAATTGTGTTCCATTAACTGATGTTGATCAGTCATTTTGTGACGGGTATTTTGCAAAAATGGATAAATGAAATATGTGTTTTCAAATTTTTACTTTTATGTTAGTAATTTGGTTGTAGGGTTTGGCTTATAAATACAATTCTGTTGATTTTGACATGCATTTTTATTACACCTTCAGTTCTTAGCTAAATAATTGTATGGATACATATTTTATCATATACTTTTATCATTTACTTTTCTTTATTATCAGTCAATTAAAATTTTCCTTAAATGTCAATATAACTTAATATGTAGTTTTATGACCATAGTCATCTGAGACATTTCTGATATGTTCATAGATTTCTTCAAATATAAATATAAAATTTCACCATCAATACGATATTACATATATAAAATTCTAAAATGGATTAACCATTCAGTGTTAGACTTTTTCTTTTCTATGATTACCCAATTTGTTATGTTAACTGTTTGACACTTACATCATTATCCAGTTACCAACTTTATTATTAAAAGGAGCAACTTTATTTTGAGCTTAACTATGTTAGTTGTGATGCTAGAAACTAAAAAAAAAAAAAAACAAAAATAAAGCTTTTTTAAGTTTTCCCGAAAAGCGCTTCATTTTTTGATTATTTCACTTTGAAATATTTGATTTGGAATTTGATAAATAAGAACACACTTTTCATGAGCTACATCTCTGCTCCTACTGGGTATACAGATTTCATAAGTACAACACCATTTTTTTTATAAAAGCTACATTTTTGCTAAGAATATTTTTTCAATTGAGTTATTTGTGAAAAACCGTTTTTTTTTTTATTTTGAAAAATGAATATTTTCACTTGCAATTAATTCAAAAAGTATTGGCCTAGTGAAAAAACTCTATAGAGTATGATGATAGAATTAATCAATTTATTCATTTCCGGACTTATTTTGAATGTATATTTTTTCACCCCCGATAAGGGGTAGCTTAACCCTGGGCTCAGGTGAGGCCAAAAGTGAAATAGAGGGTAAGAGAAACCTAAATCCAAATTTTCAAGCAAATCCGTTGTGACAAGGAAAATTACACTTCAAAACAGTCATTTACTGGATTAATATTCTATGGGAAAATGTTTGTTATTTTTAAACCTGTTATTCTCGATAACAATTCATCATTTTCCATAACTCGGCAGCCTTCGGGCCTATATTAGGATAGGTTTGTGAGACTCTACTTTATTGTTGTTTTACTATCATCATTATCAGTAGCTCGAAAACCCTTTTTGGGTCCTGGCTTGTTCTAGGATTTTCCGCCATTCTGTTCTGTTCCTTGCTTTGTTTTTCCAGTTGGTAATCTTTAGTGTTTTCAGATCTTGTTCCACTTGTTCCATGTATCTAAGTTTGGGTCTTCCCTTTGACCTTCTCCCTACTGGTGTTTGCCTCATTAAATGTTTTGGTGTTTAAGTCTCCAATATCCGTTCAACATGGCCCTTCCAGCGCAGACATTCGATCTTTATCGATGTGATGACCTCGGTTCATTGTATGCTGCGTATAATTCAAAATTATATCTTCTGTGCCATATGTCATTTTCTTTCACCCCCTTATATATGTTTCTAAGGATTTTTCGTTCAAACGTACCTAATAGGTTCCCATCGCTTTTCGACAGTGTCCATGCCTCTGATCCATATACAAGGACCGGTTTTATCACTATATTTTGCATTTGGTTTTTCTTGTGATGTTGTTAGATCTTATAGCGGCTTCCCACGGTCGGCGATATTACGGACGTAAGCGGACCAGCACGCACCACGCACCGTGAGAAGGGTCTCGTCTGTGGTAGCGCAGGCACGTCTGTGCTGGTCCGTCCTATCCATCTAGAGTCGGTAACATCAAAGGTGCGGTACATGCTCGTGCGACGCGATCTTAG